ATAGCAACGCGCACCAGACTAGCCGGTGCGATCATGCGTTTTGTGCATTTCAGCCCATCGAACGATCGCCTGTTAATGATTTTCACTGCTTTGTACTTTAGTCTATGCAAAAAATAGTTCAAACATTGAAAAACAGTCAAAAAATTCACGCACCAGCGCATGAAAGCTGAATTCGAAACCTTAAAGGGTGAATGTCTTTTTGTGATTCCCGAATTAATAAGTTACCCGCCAAAATTTTCACAAGGCCGTAGGTGATACTCAATAGCACGGAAAGGCTGAATTTGAATAGACAAGGTTGGACGTGGGCAGGGGGTCATTATCCTAAAATTTCAGCTTCCTGGACCCCGTGGTTCCCGAGATAATAATTTACCCTTAAAAAACTTTCACGGGGCCATACTTGTTACCCGCGGGTACGGGGAAGCTAGGTTTAAATTTGCTGGGTCACACTTGGTTGGGGAACGTTCCCCTAAATTTTCAGTTTCCTAGCTTTCGTGGTTTCCGACAATCCCGTGACAGTATGTGTTTTGTGCTGCTGTTACATAAAAACAGACATATTTATATGTTATTTGCGAATAACGTTTATTTCTACGGTAAATTTTTATTTGCATATGCCAGACTGCTTAGAACCATCAGCTTCTTTTGAAGCAGCCTCGTTTAAAGATAAGCCATCGATTGCCTTATCACGAAAGCGCTATCGCTTAGGTTATTAGTTCTGTTCCGCTAGCAGATAGTAATGTTTGAAAAGGAAAGTTTCTGAATTTTTCTGGTAATTTTTTTGGTGAAATTTCTGGATGTTCATGTGGTACGTACTCAAATTTGGAACTAATTTTTGCTTCTTAAAGGCCAACTTAAATATTCTTTTTTTTTAACTGAAAGTAATATGTTAATTAGATTTTTTTTTTAAAGAAAAAAGTGAAAAACTAGATTTATCAGACTGTTTTTATGCATCAATGCTTTGTTTTGAATGTACTGCATACACCGAAAAATTTTTACTAGTATTTTTTTTTGCATTTTTTTAAATAACTTGATTTTTTACTTTTTATTTATCTGACCAGCACGCTGCAGGTAGAAGATTCGACATGCCACTACAATATTGCCACTTTCTACATGTTGCTGGCTGGACGCAGTTGTTTTAGCATGAATGCATTGGTGCATCAGTTACTGCATACAGCACTCAAATCTCTGCTCAGTTGCGGTATTGGTATGCTTCGAGTGATTCTTTTGCGTTTTGTGCTGTGTAACAGCGTTACAAAACGCATATTGTTACGGGGTTGTCTGTGTGTGTGTCTGTCTCACATTTTGTCCTGCACTTTCAACTCGCGAACCACAAAAGCTACGCGGCTGAATTTTGGTATGGTGTTCCCCGCCAGCGGGTGACACGGCTAATTTAAATTCAACCTTCCTGTACCCGCGGGTAACTCGTAAGGCCCCGTGAAAGTTTTTTGCGGGTAGGTTAATATCTCGGGAACTACGAAAGATATTCATCATTCAGGGTTTCAAATTCAGCTTTCATGCGCTGATGCGTGAAATTTCTAACTGTTTTCCAATGTTTGAACTATTTTTGCATAGACTAAAGTACAAAGCAGTGAAAATCATTAACTACAATCGTTTGATGGGCTAAATTGCACAAAACGCATGATCGCACCGGCTACTCTGGTGCGTGTTGCTACTTGTTTGAATATGGGCAACTGGGTCTGAAAATTAGCTGACCGTATGAGGGAGATACAGTACGACGCAGTGCCCCAAGTGCCTACTTGCAGCCCTCATTTCATCATATTTGAATTTAGGACTTTTACTTCATCGTTAGCGAGTAAATTCTTGGACAGGTTTACTTTTTGCCTATCGTTTCGGTGATGCATTATCGTTTTTCACCCTCTTCTAATTACATTAAGTTCTTATATTTATGGAATTATGCTATAAAAATGCTGATGTGTGTTCTTAACGTCTTTCAAAAAGCTTGAATGTCACTTTCTCTTGATTTTCATGTCTTGTGATGAAGTTTTTTTTGTTTCATTTAGGCAAATTGCCAGATACGGATGCTGAAGCGGGTGTTTGTCTTGCGCTTCTTATACTTGCCGATATAATATGTCAAAGCGATCAGCCCATTATCCGTTAGTCTCACGTTTCATTGCATCCTTTTTAGTGCAAGTGATTGTGCCAGTTTTTCCAATATCGCCAATGTTTTTACTGAAATCGCCGCGAAAAGTCGGGATCTTGATTTGCCGCTTTTGGAACGCGCGGAATTTTTGCTCTTGTGAACACTTTTATTGAAATCACAAAATTATTTGCATATGGTTTTTGGGGATTTAAAGTACTGATAATAATTGATAATTAATAATAAAATAGAGGCGAAAAGTAAGCTCTGAAAAAGCGAATTGCAGTTTCGACGCAGTACACGGGAGAGCGCATCAACTGGAGCACTTCTCAGGCTGACCGATGGATTTTGACAGGCGGCCATTTGCATGATATTGGCGATGAAGTAAGCTCCCTGCTCGTCACCATTTGCATGATTGCCGATTTCACCAAAAATAAATTAAGGGATCGATTTTCAGATGAGTTCGTTTTAATAATTTTCACAGGTGCTGTTTCGTATGAATTGATTTTTTCACAAAACTTCCTCAGTTTTGTCCAAAAAAGATGAAATTCGAGGTTTCTTCAGTTTGATTAGTCCGACCATTGAGGACATCCAGAAGTAGTGACTTTTAGGCTTTCACTTTTTGCATATTTGTTGCCTCTCTTCGGTCTGCACTGAATTTTTTTTGGAAAAAATTCCTCCTAGGCCGGAAGAAGGAAAGTAAAACTTTGCAGCTGTGCTCTCGAGGACATTGAGAAATAAAGGTGCAAAAATCAGTAACTCTTCTGAATGTTCTTTCAACCATTTTTGCACGTTTTTTGCAGCTATACAATGCAAAACGCACATTGACGAGGGGTTGTCTCTGTATCCGTGCGTCTGTGTATGCGTCTGTCCCGATTTTTCATTGCAAGACCTACAAAAGCTGCAGGGCTGAAACTTTGAGAAATTAATCTACATGCACGTACGGGCCCCAATCCTCAAAATGGGCGCCATTATCCGCGTAGTGCTCGCGTGCGGGCCCGCCAAGGTTTTTTTTGGGTATGTTCATAACTCGGGGATCTGAAATGCTAGAAAGCTGAAATCTTAGTAGGATGTTCCCTGTCCAAGCGGGTATTAACGAGCTCAAACCCTGCCCGCGAGTAAGCGTGATACCTACGTACGGGTCCGTGAAGTTTTCTTTCGGGGAAGTTGCTAACTCGGGAACGTGAGGAGCTAGAAGACCGGAATTTTGAAGGGATGTTTCCTGACAGTCCTGACGGCCAGTCTGAAATTCTTTTAACTAGAAGCATCTGCCAGGAAAACCAGTGCCGTTAGCGACAAAAATGTGCGGGGAGCTATGCAAAAAACGCATCTTCGCACGAGCAGCCTATGCGTTGGCCACTTATTATCATAATTTTAGGCGTGGGTCGCTATTAAAAATTTTTTGATTTTACAAAAAAGCCAGTTCAATAAATACTCGTGTTTGTAAGGACTGAAGCCTAAGATTTAGCACACCTTAATATTTTAAGCTGATTGAGTTGGGCAATGCAAAAAATTGCGCAAACAGATGTAGAATAGTATAAAAAGTCAAAAACCAAAAACAGTACATTCGGGAGAAGGAAATACCTGGGAGTAGCTCAGAAGAGTAAGCACTTTATCTTCAAGGGTACCATCAATTGCTGCTTTCTGAGAAGTACTAGACGTAGAAACAGAACCGCTAGGAGTTTTTAATTTCCTTACATACATCATTTTTTACCGTTCGATTCTAAAGAATTTATTTCATTGTACACGAAAAAGAGCGCTTTGAACTTGAGAATAGTGCCAGTGTTTATAGTGTCTTCCAGTAAAATATCGAAAAATGCGACAAGTCGTTTGCTTAGCTGTGCCAAAAGGGCATTAAAATTGTCTAGGATTATTGAATTCGAGTATGAATCTTTTGCATAATAATGGCATTTTCAGCGGCAACAAACCGGATGAACAACGTGCGTTTCGTCGGGAGTACATTGCGGAGCTGTCGAAGGGAGTGCTTATGGTTATGTGCGAGCAGGAATGGGTCACACAGCGAATCTATCGACGTTGCGAAGATGGCTGCATGGAATGTTTCTCCTCTCATCAACTCCGCAAAAACTGCTTGGTATGTTTTGCTTGCTTGGTTTATCCGCATGCCCCTTCCGACCCTGGGTACATTTGTGTTACGAATATGGTTATAGTCTGGGATTGCGTAATATTATTCCTAAAAAGCGCTAATTTTGAATCTGTCTGTTATTTTGTGTTAATTTTAATCAGGCGGTACGAAGTACATGAGCACGTCCGTGCAGAGTTACGTGAATGTAGTAAGCTGTGAACCAAAATTGCAGGGGACATTTTGCTAGCTATGACATTTCTGATGGCGAGACTGAGCACTGTGATAAAATGACAATTTCTCAAGGCAGCAGAATGATGTTCTAGCTAATGCGTGGATTGCATGTTTGTACAGATTCAGTATATTATGCGTTTTGTGCTGTGTAACAGCGTTACAAAACGCATATTGTCACAGG